TTTTATAAGAAATGATTAGTGAACATGAAGACATAATAGAATAAGTAGCCCAAGTCAGAAAGATAAACATTCAAGAAGAATGAATAGACCATCAGTGATCTGCAAGAAACTTCAGATGGACTAATAATATACACGTAACTGGAGTTTCATAATAGAAGAGATCAAGTGACAAAACATATTTGAAGAAATAAGGGCCCCAAATTTTCTCATGAAAACAATAAACTCACAAATTCATAAAGTTCAATAAACACCAAGCTAAAGAAACATTAAAAACTACATCGAAATACATTGTAATCAAATTACTGAAGTTAAGTGATTTTATATATATATATATATATATATATATATATATATATATATATATATATATCAGCCAAATGAAAAGAGGACACATTGGGTTCACTAAAACAAAAGTAAGAATGGAGGCAGGTGTGGGGAGGGAGTCAGGCGGCTGGGCTGGGCTGGGCTGGGCTGGGCTGGCGGGGCAGGGCTAGCTCCCCTGCACTGGTTCTGCTGCCTGCCTCAGCGCAAGTGCTGGGACCTAATCTCCACGCACACTTCCCCAGCCCTTTTTAAATATTTTAGAGACAGGGTCTTGCTGAGTTGCTTAGGGCTTCACTAAGTTGCTGGGGCTGGCTTTGAACTCATGATCCTCCTGCCTCAGCCTTCCAAGCTGCTGGGATTACAGGAGTGCTCCATTGCATCCAGCTTCAGTGTAGTTTTGGTTTGCATTTCTCTAATTACTAGATATTTGAACATCTTTTCATATACTTGTTGATTGTATTTCTTCTTCTGTGAAGTGTATCTTTGGTTCCTTAGCCCATTTATTGATTGGGTTATTTGTTTCTTTGGTGATAAGTATTGGTAAAGATCGCCCCCAGAGTGCTTCTCTTCCGGGAGTTCAACTCCATGTACTGAATGGCGGGAATTTTGAATGGGCCCGAACCATCACCTCCAATCTCTGTGAACAGCACGAACTTTGAATGGCACACCTCCAATCCCTGAAGTGGCTGAACTCTAGGCCAATAAAGAAGTAACAGCCGGTATCCCCCTCCCCCACTGAGCCCATTAATATCAACACCTTGTTTGTGCTTTCTCTCGCTGGACCCCCTTCTCTTCTGCAACCAGCAGCTATGGTGCCGCTAATAAAATCTCAGGTAAATGGTTGTTTTGCCTTGTTGAATTATTGGAGCTTTTCCACTGCTCCTTGCATTAAGTTTTTTGAGTTATTTATATATCTTGGAGATTAATGCTCTGAGGTGCATGTGGTAAAGATTTTTTTCTGATCTAGGGAACATAACTCCCAAATGAACAAGTGAATTACAATCCCCCCTACACGGAACACCAGGAAGGGAGTTTTAGAAGAGCTTCTTTAAAAGTACACTCCCCCCCTTCTCCTTTGCTAGCATAAGCACTAAAACCTTCTTTTCCCTTTTTCTCAAAACCATGTCCTGGTTATTGAATTGGCATTGGGGACAAGGACCGAGCTTTTGGTAATAGTATTAGTTGATAGTAGGCAACTATCATTGTTCATTTAGAAAGCTTGTTTGAATTCTGTTTGGAAAAAAGGATTATAGCATGGGCTATGTCTAAAAGTGTGCTCTGATTTATTGCAACCATTTTATATGACAATTGATTTAAAAATCTAAACTATAATGGCTACCGCGACATATTTATCTGCACTAGACAAAATTCCATTTTCTCTGAACATGATTCTTGCTTTGGCCATCAGATATCATAACAGTGGTCCACTTTATACTTTGAATATAACCCTTACTGCTCTGCCACTAGGACTCATTTTATTTTTTTTTATTTTTTATTTTTTTTAAAGAGAGGGAGAGAGAGAGAGAGAGAGAGAGAGAGAGAGAGAGAGAGAGAGAATGAATTTCAATATTTATTTTTCAGTTTTTGGCGTACACAACATCTTTGTTTGTATGTGGTGCTGAGGATTGAACCCGGGCCGCACGCATGCCAGGTGAGCACGCTACCGCTTGAGCCACATCCCCAGCCCCTAGGACTCATTTTAAAAGGACTTGTTTTTTTCTCTTCCTCTTCTCCCCTCCTCTTCCCTAATCTCTCCCCTCTCTAATATCAGGGGAAACAAGATTACCTTTCCCCCCATCCTAGACAGAGTTATCTGTCCTTGAGTGCACACCCAGCACAGGAGCAGAAGCAATTCAAACTTTGGTGACCATACCAGAGGAACTCCCAAATTGACTAGCTTCCAAATTAACAAGTGAATTACAACTAGAACACATGAAATGCAGCCTTTTAATGACCTTTTTAAACACCCCCCCCCTTTCCTCTGAATGGGCAGAATCATAGCCTCTGTGATAGGAATCCCCTGTGTGTCTCCTTTGCTAGCAAAGCAATGCAACTTTTTCCCTTTTCTCAAAACTGTGTCCTTATTATATTGGCAGGGGGACAAGGATTGAGATTTTGGAGGAAAAAAAAAAACACAAAAGGACAAAATTTATTTATCTGTGATCACTTTATTTTTAATTCATATTACCAACCCCCGTGAGTTCATTTTTTGATTCTACATGCTTATATATTTTTGTTTTGTCTGATTAAAAACTTTTGGTTTTCTCTTCTTTATCTGAGGTTTTTGCTTGTTTGTTAATCTGGTAAGAAAAACTGATTATTTAAGTTTTGCTTGTTTGAGTCTTTAAGAGAAATTTTCTATCTGGCCTCAAATAAAAAATGCAAATTCCAGATTTACAGACCACTTAGGGTAATATTAGATCAACAGTCTGTATTTTAAAACTAGCAAGCGACAAATTAAGCATTCAAATATTATCACGTATGCCTATATGTTTACATATTTATATATTATTTATTTTCATGCTACCAAATTGATTTGTAGATAAGCAAGTACATAACCTTTTAACATTTGTTAAGTTCACCCAAATGTCTTTGAAGCCACATGACTTTAGTAAATCTGTGACAAATAAATTAATTTAAACTTATTGGCAATAGGGTGTCTTTAAAATTTGGTAATACACCTTTTTTCTGGCCTGCTAACCAACTGAGGAGATATTTGTCTCTAGATGTTTAAGATAGAAAGTTCATGGCTTTCTAAGTGCAGTAACTTTTTAGAATTCCTACAGAGAAAAAACTTAAGATGATAATTATGCTTGTATTTTTTAACTTATAAATGACAGCTGTTACAATGACTAAGTTAGATATGTAAGATGGGCATTTATAAATGTTCCACAAGTTTTTATAAAAACATCCTTTGTTTTGCTATACAAGCCCACTACTAAAGTCTTTTTCTGAATAGAATTGATGGTAACCAAATACATTTGTTTATGTGGCCTAATGTAAACAGGAGAGGCTTACCTGCTTCTTTGTACTAGATGAGCTACTGCTATTTTTCTCTATCCTTTGCTTAGATTGGAGTCTTTAAAATGTAATTTTAAATTTATTTTTATAAGAAAATTCTGATTCAGAGCTAGAAATTTGAGGATTTTCACACCTCAAATGTTTGATAAATTCATAATGCTATCTCTATATATGACATGCATGATTTATCTAAATATTAATTGTTCAGTATATTTGAAATTTCACACGTGAACCTAATTATTAAAATGTCTAGACTTTAGTTTTGTCTGAATTCTAAAAGAATTATGATTATATGTTATTTAAAATATACCATCAGAATTCTCAGACTCAAGAAATTTAACTTTATTTGGTATTTCTTTCTTTGTTCCAGTCTTAAGATGAACCAGAAGAAACAACAAATGATTTCAAATGCTTCTATGCTATGTATGGTTTGTTTCCAAATGGCAACATTTCATAATGAGCTAAAATTTGTGGGTTGGTTGTTATTGTTGTTATAAACTGATCATAAATCCTAACAGTACTTTCAGAAATTTTCTGTCTACCATATTTCACTGAATAATTTTTGCCACTATAGTAACATATATTCATGAATATTCCATGCATCCTAATCTTGCACCAGTTTAGTAATAAATAATATTTAAGTAATATTTATTTTTAAAAAGTTTCACATAATGTTCTCACCCCACTTTTTTGAAGAAAACCTCATATTGATTATGAAATGAAATGATATACCTTCATTCAGCAATTAAATATGGGTAGTCCAGAATTTCAATTTTTACATACTTTGTATTAAATATTTAAAAATTTGATGTTTGATAAACTTTTAGATGTTTTAGACTTTGAACAAACCTATTTGCCTAGCTAATTTGTCTCCCAAGTTTTTGTGGAGTGCGATGGGTGGGGTAAAGCCTCTGCTCCAACCTGTTGCTAAGGTAACCTGTCCCAGGAATTTCCCCTCCCTACAGGGAGCTATAAGGTTGTTAATGTGTCTTTGGCTGCTCCTTCCTACCCTTCTCCCTTCAGCCCACCTGTTGGCCCTCTGAGCATTCCTGGGCCTAGTCACCTCCGCAGGAAGGAGAAAGATAAGAGGGGGAAGGCTGGAGAACAAAGGAAGCATAGGACATATAAAAAGGGCAGAACACCTCGCTTCTGGGGATACCACCTATGGCCCCCTTCTCCCTGGAGGGGTAGGTCTGTTACCCCTTTTTAAATAAACTCTGCTTCATATGCTTGCCTCGGCGTGCTTCTTTAATGTTCAAACTTCAACATGTGGGGAAGCAGGACTCCTCACTGGTAACCAGTGGTATCGATTAATGTTTGCTGAATGAATGATTTTATCATCAAAACAAACTATAGATATAAGCAAAAACATCAAACCAGCTTTTTGGTTTTGTTTTATCAAAAGTAAACTTAATTCATGATATGACACATTTCCTCTCTAAATTATCTAGTTATACTACATCCATATCATTTATTCAATTAAAGCCTAGGAGGGCTGGGGATGTGGCTCAGTGGTTAAGCACCCCTGCGCTCAATCCCTAGTACCAAAAGCAAAAAAAAAAAAAAGATAAATTAAAGCCTATATTCGGAAACAGTACTGTCAAAAAATCAAGTCTCATTATAAAATATTAAATAAGACCAAGATATTTTTATACCTCTTCTCACATTCCACAGTTTGTTTCAGCTTGTTTCTCATGACAGAAGTTGAATGATTAAGAATCCTAGAAGTAAATTGACACATTAATTCTGAAAGACATTAAAGAGAATATTATACCAAAAAAAAAAAAAATCACCAAAATAAACTGCTTCTAGTCCATGAAGATCTTTACTAGAAAACAATAAATGTTATTAAGATCAGATGCCCATAAATAATTTATGAAAGAATGAGGGTCACCCAATTCTTTCATGCATCTTCTTTTCTAAACCCCTTCTCAAATTCTGGATGCCTTCTAGCCATACTAGTATCCCCCTATGTATATCTGACTTTGGGCTGAGACAGAAGATAAAAAGATATGAATTTTTTAAGATACTATGTATATAACAGAGCCCTTTTGAACTTGCATACCCTAAAATTATTTTCCCCCAACTTCCTGATTATTATTTTCTCCATCTCAACAGAAACTGAGAAACTGTCCCCAAAACCAGGCTAGCAAAGGGTTAGGGTTATGTAGGTTGATAGTTTATGTTTCACTCTGTAATTAAGTTAAAATAAACATCCATTTTATATAAATATGTACTCTAGATTATTAACACACTTCCCTAATCCGGTTCCTAGAATTTATTTTTAAGTAAAAGACTACACAGTTCATCTTCATCAAGCTGGCTCATTAATAACTGAAGGCTTCCACCAACTCTGAATACCTTGACTCCCACTCTGATGCTCTCTGATACTCTGGAAGTTTATCACTGAATGATGGTTTATGAATGGTCTCCATCTGTGTTCACATTTCACATATGGAAGATGGAGATTTGAGAAAGAAAAAGGTTTCCTCTATCTTCCTCAAAGCTGGTTTCAAATAAAATCTGTTTCTTTGCCTTGCCAACATGTCTCCTGAGTTTTAGTGTAATGGCAAACTCTCTAGTTTCACAAGAAGTCATTAGTAAAGGAAGCAGAAAAGAAAAAAATGGCTAGATTACAAGAGTTGAGAGAACTCAGTAGTAATAACAAAGATGTTGACACAATACTCAAATTCAAATGTTCATATGATCAGACAAAAATCATAAGAAACTGGTAATATGCATAATTTCTACAGTTCTGAAACAAAATAAATTTCTTAAAATCAAACTTCTTTGCCAAATTCTTTTTTTTAATATTTATTTTTTAGTTGTAATTGGACACAATGCCTTTATTTTGTTTTTATGTGGTGCTGAGGATTGAACCCAGGGCTTCACACTTGCTAGGTGAGCACTCTACCACTGAGACACAACCCCAGCCCCCCAAATTCTTAATTACACTTCAATTATGTTTTCATGATTGCTTATTTGTTATTTAGTCACATAGTACTCAGAATCACACCTTTCCACAATTAAAATTTTAAAAAAAAACCCTCAAGACACACCTAAAAGCAAATAAAATAATTATTATAAGGAAAGATGTGGGCAACCCCTGTTGGGTCCCCTTTGGCACTGTAGAAGCTCTGTCTCTCTTCTCACTTGAATAAAATCCTACTCCTTTTTTTTTTTTTAATCTCACTAAGTTGCTTGAGGCCTTGTTAAATGGCTGAGGCTGGCCTCAAATTTGCAGTCCTCCTGCCTCAGCCTCCTGCAGCACCAGGATAACAGGCATGCACTACTGCACCCAGAACTAAATTCTACTCTTTTAATGCTCACAAAAAAAAAAAGAAGAAGGAAAGATGTAACAAAAATACTATGGAGCTATGGAGTAAGTGAACAGAAATAAACATACAATGGGAATCAGTCAACTGAAGCTGTTTATTGCAAAAGTTCCATATATTTTAATACTTCCTTTAGGATATCAACCAAATTTTAAGATGTCAGCTATACATCTGCTTATTAAGCCACATAAAATATCGGTATAGAAAAGAGTAGTAGCCACTGAAGAAAAGGTTGAGAACTTGCTCAATAATTTAGAGCAAAATTATTTGTTTTTCAACTGAATTCCTTTTCTTTATTCTCAAGTTAATATTATTTTCAATTCCCAGCACCACACAATAAATTCTGAAATGATCATTTATTAGTTCCTTCCTTGACTCCCTCCACCTCATTCTATAAAAGTCTGCTCTTTTTTTTTTTCAATTTTATTTTGTTATCGTAAGACCATAAGGTCCACTCTCCTAACAAATTATTAAGTGTACAATACATTATTGTTAACTGTGGGCATAATGATGTTCAGCAGATCTCTAGTGTTTATTCATCTTGCAACACTAATAATTTTAATACAGTCTGTCTTTGATGCAGAGGGACTTCATATACTCAGACACAAGTAGAAATAATGATCTGACATTTTCGGAGAGCGGATAAAAATTCAATAATGCAAAGTAGCTTAACCTTTCTTTCTTTTTCCTTTTTGGAGACAGGGATACAAGGATCTCAGTTTGGCCCAGGCTGACTTCCAATTTCTGGGCTCCCACCTTAGCCTCCTAAGTAATTGGGACTACAGTTGCATGCCACTCCTCACAACTCATCTCAATCAGACCAAGAGGGGGCTGTCTTCTAAATAACCAGGCTTCAGACTGAACCCTTATGAGTTAGCTACTTGATGGTTTGTTTGCTGATCTCTTCCCCCACTGACCCTTTTTTGGTTATTAATTCTAAACACCGATGTCTTTACTGGAAGAGTGTCACCTACCAAGTAATAGTGTAAATTTTCTTAAAGAATCAAAAAATTAAAAAAAAAAAAAACAGTATGAACTAAATAATTAGCCAAATGGCTGTAAGAAAATTAATTGCCTCTTGTTTTGGAGTACATATGTAGCTTCTTTTAACCTACAACTAATATGACGTACAGTCAAAGTAGGAATCCTCAATGGTATTTCCTAATATTTAAGGGTAATCTTGTTCCAGATAAATTATTTTTTAATTAACACTAACAACAAACATAAATTATAATGATTATGTTAAAACTTAAGGATATGTTACAATTCCTGGCCTGCAATTTTAAATAGCATTTCAGAGCCTTCATTTAATAAAGTTGGAATATAAAACATAACAGCACAGCGTGAAAAGGGAAATCTACAACTAGAGAAGACATAAATTATAGCAAATGCACTGCAGGATAGGATTACTCTTAGATTTGTTTGGTTTCATTCAAATTCAGGTGTTGTGGGGCTAGGGATGTAGCTTGGTGGTGGAGTATTTATCTGGCATGTGCAAGGCCTGGGGTTCCATCACCAGCACCCCAAATAAAAAAGGTTCAAGTATTATGACAATAAACAAAAAAGAAACTTTAATTATTATCAACGTATTTTAAAAGGAGGACAGGATCATTTATTGAAAAGAAATAGTAGATTTAGCATTATAAAATTCTGAAATACAGTTTAAGTTCAGTCATTAATAGAACTGGCTAGGGAGGTAATATAAAATAAAATTTAAAATAAAATGTGCTCTTTATGGCCAGATTATTTTTTTAATATTTATTTATCTTTTATTTTTTTATTCATTTATATGCAGTGCTGAGGATCAAACCCAGGGCCTCACACATGCCAGGCAAGTGCTCTACCACTCAGCCACAACTCCAGCCCTATGACCAGATAATTGTTAACATTTTTATTTATTTATTTATTTATTTATTTATTTATTTATTTATTTATTTATTTATTTTTAGAAAAAGGAAAAATAAATTTTATTGCTTTGCTAGCAAAAGAGAGACACAGGGAACTCCTACCCCAGAGGTAGTGGTTCTCCGGTCAGGAGGAATAGAGGGTTTTTAAAGAGGTGATTCAAAGGCTACATTCCAGGTATACCCAGTCAGATTGTAACAATCATTTCTTAGATCTTCTGGCACCCTCCCTAAAGTGTGAATTATTTTGGTCCAGATGTATGTGCTTAAGGACAGATAATCTTGGCCCTACAGTAGGGAAGAAGGGTAATCCTGTTTCCCTGAGGTTAGAGAGGGGTAGAGGTAGAAGAGGAAAACAAGACTAAAGAAACCAAAAAAAAAAAAAAAAAAAAAATATATATATATATATATATATATATATATATATATATATATATATATATATCTCCATTTTAAAATAAGCCTGAGCTGCAGAGCAGCAAGGGCCATATTCAAAGGATGAGGTAGACCACTGTTACATTTCCCCACTGTCAATTTCTATCTTCCTTTTCTGTGGATATACGGGCAATAAAATCTCCAGGCTGCTTCCTGTTGAGAGGGCAAAGTTGGGGGGAAGTGACCCGAAGTTGGGGGGAAGTGATTGTTCTCTATCAGGTAGGGCATGGACCAACAAGGGTATTTAGCATCAGGGCAGTCTAGAGGTCCATGGTGGAAGTTGGCGGGTGACTGGACAAGGCATACATAGGGCAGGGATCATGCTAGGACATCAATAAACGACAGAAAAGCATTATTTTTTTGTAAACAATTAGCACAAAAGCAATTAGTATCCCAGCCAGTGTCTGAAAACCATGAAGACAGTAACTCAAGTAAAGCTTAAGATGGGATCCAACATGCCACTGATTTGTGAGTGGAGGCCATTTAAGGCTTTAGAAACATTAGCAGAGTTGTTAGAAACGTGCACAACATTTTAGTTTTTTTAATGGCACAGGTGTCCCCTTGAGCTGTAGTTAAAATATCTTTCTCATTAGCATTAACTCTATATTTAGTAGAGGAATCCCATTAACTGCCATTTAGGGCTCTCTTAGTAAAGCTAGTTAGGGCTTTTGTGTGACACATTGCATCTTTTAGATCAATCTAAGGGATAAATATCAGGGCTAGATAATCATACCAGTGAAAAACATCAAGAGATTATTGTAAACATTTTAAGGCCTTCAAAAATTAGATATTATTACTTTAATATTGTAATTAATACTGCATATTAATATATAATCTAAAAAGTTCTTATATTCATGTGCTAACATCTATAACATTTTAGATGTGCTAACATCTAAAATGGATGATGAAGAAGAGAACCAGATCAGACAAAGATCACTTTTGCATACAGCTTGAAAATCACTATTGCATACAGAAGTTATTTAGGGACAACATAAAATTTGTAATTAAATTAATAGCTCCTCCTAGCTCTAAATCTGATTTAATTTTCAAGGGATTAGCTAATCATTAACAGTAAAACTGAGTACATACTATGTGCAAGGCACAATGCTACGTGCTATTTTGTATTAGTTAACAAAACTATCACAAAAACAAAACATATGAAACATAGCTATTCAGTCAATGTTGGTACCTAAGCTAAAAAGAATAATTTAAAGCACATGGATAGATGTAAAAGTAACATGATAAAAGTAGAAATGAAAAAATATAGAAATATTATATATGGCAATGTTAAAATCAGAACACTATGAGAAAATTAGATACTAGTGCGGGTTCTTAAAATATCAAGGGGCTGGAGATGTAGCTCAGTGCTAGAATATTTGCCTATAGTCTGTGCAAGGCCCTAGTTCTAATCCTCAGCACCACCATCAAATCAATAAATGAGCAAATGAGCAATATTTTCTTCCCATAATGATAAATTCAACTTCTGCACCTGCTAGGTAGAGGAGACAAAAACTCAACTAATTTTTAAGTTTCACAGAGCAGGTGGAGCAAGCCTCATCAAATCTCTTAAACCACTGGGGTAGCCAGGCTTGGTGGTGCACACCTGTAATCCCAGCAACTCAAGAGGCTAAGGCAGGAGTATCACAAGTGAAGGCCAGCCTAGACAACTTTGTAAGACCTTGTCTCAAAATCAAAAATTAAAAAGGGCTGGGAATATGGCTCAGTGGTAAAGGGTCCCTGGGTTCAATGCTCAGTTAAAAAAAAAAAAAAAAGAGAGAGAAGAGGGGAGGGGAGGGGAGGGGAGGGGAGGGGGGATAGTAGAGGGGAGTGGGGATAGTAGAGGATAGGAAAGGCAGCAGAACACAACAGACACTAGTATGGCAATATGTAAATCAATGGATGTGTAACTGATGTAATTCTGCAATCTGTATATGGGGTAAAAATGGGAGTTCATAACCCACTTGAATCAAAGTGTGAAATATGATATATCAAGAAATTTGTAATGTTTTGAACAACCAACAATAAAAAATTTAAAAAAAAAAGAAAGAAAGTTATGGGACAAGAAAAATATAAACTGGGACTGAGGATTCATTAGATATAGATAAGGTAAAGATTAATGATATTTTCTAGTATGATTTTTTAAATCTATAACATGCAGTAGCTATACAAAAATGATACTTAACTTGGTTTAATGGCTATTTATCTTATTGGCCATTATCCAGATTTCCCCTAAAAAGTAGCCCCTAAAGACCACATATTTGTCATTTGATAACTTTTAATGGTATTTTTCAAAGCATATTTAAACAAATACCAGTATATTTAAATGTGAAACTTCGAACCAGAGTTATATTATCCATAAATATTTATTGTCTTGAGCAAGTTGCATAAAATACTTATTATTATCCAGGCTAAATGTATCAAAATTATCTTAATTTACTCAAAACAAAACAAAAAACTCAGATCTTTATTATTTCAAAATTATAAATGCAAGCTGGTCATGGTGGTTCATGCCTGTAATACCAGTGACTTGGGAGGCTGAGTCAGGAGGATTGCAAGTATGAGGCCAACCTCAGCAACTTAGAGAGACCCTAAGCAACTTAGTGAGACTCTGTCTCAAAATAAAAAAAATTAAGCCAGGTTTGGTGTCATAGCCTGTAATTCCAGCAGCTCCAGAGGCTGAGGCAGGAAAATCTTGAATTCAAAGCCAGCCTCAGCAACTTAGCAAGGCCCTAAGCAACTCAGTGAGACCCTGACTCTTAAATAAAATACAAAATAGGGTTGGGGATGTGGCTCCGTGGTCAAGCGCCCCCTGAGTTCAATCCCCAGTACCAAAACAAAATAAAAATAAAAAGGGTGGGGTTATGGCTCAGTGATTAAGCACCCCTGGGTTCAATCCCCAGTACCAAACAATTTAAATAAACAAACAAACAAATAAATGTAATACTCTCAGTAAATGAAGATGGTAAAAATAGCTGACCCTTACCAACACATGAAACTTTTCCTGTATTAAAAATAAACTTGCTTTGATTTTATACTCATTCACACAATGTCCTCCTCACTGCCAACAACATGCATTTATAGAAGGCCTACGTAGAAGGGAAAATAGTTGCTGAGCAAGAAGCAGACAAAAGTGAATTTGTGGCACTCAAATCATCACAGTGATTTCCTCAACCACTATATGATTTGGTTCAATTCTAAGGAGTTTATACATATCCCCCCCAAAAAGTGGGTTTTTTATAATCATTTAAGAAAAAATGTTTACAATGTAAATGTTAATGTGAGCTAAAATAAGTATAAAAAATAAATCAGTCATTATGATTCAGCACACAAAAATAAATATAAGCAATTATTAAACACAGTGACCACATGAGTATATTCTATTAGTTGTACTGTAATTTTACATTTTTCTCCTTAAGTATTTCCTATTGTCTTTTAATAGTTAGTCTCAAGATCTTGGAATAGATCTTACAAGGGTATTATTGTTTACTTGAAATTTCATTTACTGTATTTTTTAATCTTTAAATGATCTGATTTAAAGATTATAAAATTTGACTATTTAAATTTCATTACTGTAAGGAATACCTGTTCTTCTGTTCTTGCTTCAATAACTGAGCAGCTATTTTCCTCAAATCAGTTACTTCCTTCAAATCATCATCATCTTCTTCTTCTCCAAGTAATTGTTCCTTCTCAACTCTAAAAGATAACACAAACATGGTTATCCACAAAGTAAAACAGTCTGTATCTTAGGTCAACTTCTAAAAATTGATAACATTTTTATTTACAATACCATGTGAAAGCTAAAATCTTTATATTCTTTATTTTTTAAATACTAAAATAAGAAATAAAAGAATATATAATATCTAAGGAAAACAAATCTATATTTTCTACTCATTATGAAATGTGGCATACTAGCTGTATTAATATAATTAATGACCAACAAATAATGAAGTCTACAACCATTTTTAAATTTCTGAAATGTGTAATGGCCACAGAAATTTAACAATGCATATTGCTCAGTTTTGAGTGTAGTAACTGCAAAGCTCTACATGGTCTGCCTTTATAAATAAATATAAACTGTCACGAAAATTTCTCATTTTATTAAGCCAGACTGCTTCTCTCGTTTATTTTGGTTTTAAAAAAACCTCCATGTAAAATGTTTAAAGGAAATGCAAAACAAGTTCAAATAAGATTTGCAAATTTACCAGAAAAATGCTAATTAAGATATATCATTTTTATCATTTAAAGAAAACAAAAAAAAAATTTAAATAAAGTTTTCTCTAAACTCTAGTTACTTTTATCTTAAAAGCATTTAATTTGGGGCTGGGGTTGTGGCTCAGCAGTAGAGTGCTTCCCTAGCATGGGCAAGGCCCTGGGTTCGATCCTAAGCACCACATAAAAATAAATTAATTAAAGATATTATTAAAAAGCATTTAATTTACTAAATCCTATCAGACCATGAGTTTTCTTAATCTTTACCACATCTTACATGATATGACACTGGTGACTCTCAAATTTAGGCAACTGTCCTTATTAGATAATGTGAGAAAGTAAAAGAAGAATGAAATCTTAAGGAAAAAAAAGAAAGCAATGTACCTCCTTACAGGGCATTTGAGGGGATTAATAACTGCCTAAAAAATTACCAGTGAGGGGCTCGGAATGTAGCAATGGTAGCGTATGTGCTTAGCATGAGTGAGGCCCTGGTTCCATCCTCAGCACTATGCCCATACCCCCAAAAGAAATTACTAATGAGGTCACTCAAAAGAAAACACAATGTAGAGAAAAAAGTATGGGGATCAGAGAAAGCTCAGTTCATGCCCTAACTACTAGTGGACATAAGAAGTTTTAGGTACAAAACAAGACGCCTCTGAACTTCACCTTCCTCATCTGTAAAAATGGGATCAATATCTACCCTGCTGGATTTTACTGAAGATTAAGTGGAAAATGTGTGAAAGCACATATAGTACTCATTCTGGAACATGGTAGGCATTCAATAAACATTCCTTCCTTTCTTCTTTCTTAATGTATTTGTTACCATGTGAATAACCTGAAATAATGACTGAAAAAATGTGGTAGATCATATTTCATAATTTCATAAAATGAAAGATAAAGATACAAACCACAATTATTTTTTTTAAAGAGAGAGAATTTTCTAATATTTATTTTTTAGTTTTCGGTGGACACAACATCTTTATTTTATTTTTATGTGGTGCTGAGGATTGAACCCAGCGCCCCGCGCATGCCAGGCGAGTGTGCTACCATTTGAGCCACATCCCCAGCCCCCACAATTATTTTAATAAAATATGAACATAAATATCCTTAAAATTGCTATAACCAGTGTGACAAAATGGAAAGTAGATTAAATCAAAAGACATCACACTGGAGTTCCAAACTCAATTTCCTTATTGGCAAAATAATGCAAATACCATCTATCTTTAAAAGGTGGATAAAGAATTCAAATGAAGCAATGTATGTGAAAGTATAGTTCTCATTAATAAAACAGAAAACATTATTATTACCCTTCAGGGCAGAAATGTAGTGTATATCTTACTTTCAACCTAAAGTTTTAGTATAATTTTAAGGAATCCAGATAGATGATATATTTGCAAATTAACAATCTAAACATAACAGAGAAATGGGCCAAAAATTCTTTTGAATGCTCTTTCAAGTAGGAATATGTAATGAATAGTTCAAGTACTTATAAATAACATCATTTTGAGAATTTGTGTCCTTACCTTTTTTCATTTCCCAATTCTTCATTTTTCTGAGATTTTTCAAAGCATTTTTCTTTCCCCTTATATGAAAGAAAATTATCACTTTAAATTGTATGGTCCACTTATGTAAGATGAAGGAGAACATGTAATCTATTCACAGTCTTATTTACCTTCAGCAAAGAGACAAATGATCCAATATGTGTATCTCCTTGTTCAGGAACTGCTACATCTTCTGTGTTGGGGTCAATAAAATCATACACCTCCTGGTCTAAGTATAGATTGATATTTATTTTAAAATACATACTAAATGCTCTGACACTATAGTGCTTAGAATAAAGTTTATTTTCTTAGTATAAGAGTTAGCTAAAGACATGATAAATTTTCAAAGTCCATTTTTAATAAAAGGCTCACTTTTAATAAGAGATATACACATGACATAAAATAGCAGACACCACATGAATTACCTTTCTGAGAATCAGGCTTGCTTCCTATTGTGTGACTCTCATTTCTTGATGTCTGCTCTCTATTTGATTCTGAAACTTGAGAGTGAAGGCTGATTGTATCATCATCTGATGGCTGAAAAGAAATGAGCACAAAATACAAAAAGAGGCATTTGAGGGACTGAGGCTGTAGCTCAGTGGTAGAATGCTTGCCTAGCATGTGTGAGGCACTGGTTTGATCCTCAGCACAACATACAAAAAATTAATAAACAAAGATATTGTGTGTCCATCTACAACTAAATATATACACACATATATGTGTGTGTGTGTATATATATATATAGGCAGCCAGGCATGGAGGTGCAGGCTTGTAATCCTAGCGGCTTACAAGGCTAAGACAGGAGCATCACGAGTTCAAAGCCAGCCTCAGCAATTTAGTGAGGTGCTAAAGCAACTCAGTGAGACCCTGTCTCTAAATAAAATACAGAATAGGGCTGGGGATGTGGCTCAGTGGTCAAGTGCTCCTGAGTTCAATTCCCAGTACCCAAAACAAAAAGAAAAAAAGAGGCATTTGAAACACACGACAAAGGTTATATTGCTTTAATCAAGCATGCAAATTATAAAATAATCACTTTACTTCTCCAGTTTTCAGATAAAAAATTAATAAGCTAAAGTTGACGTCTGCTTTAATAATCAGTATGTACTTTTTTTCATTTGAAATAATGATCATATTTTCAAATAAAGTCAAATGTGTGCAAATATCTCCATCTCAGAGTTCTAATAAAACTGTAAAACAAAACAGATCAGCGATGGAAAAGACTCACTTCTGTTGTAGACAATCGTTTCTCTCCATTATCACTTCCAATTCCAGAGTCAGGGCCATGATTTTTATTTGGATAAAAATCTTCCATACTATGAAAATAGAAATACTAAAGACAGTTAGGATTTTGTTCTCAAATAGATAATGCACACTTGATCTAAAACTTCCTTAGATAATACAAAATATATAATGATTGCTTATCTTGTGGTAGGAACTGGGCTAAGTGTATAATACCTTTAATATTTCTTGTGGGGGGCTGGGGTTGTGGCTAAGTGGCAGAGCACTCGCCTAGCACATGCGAGACCCTGGGTTCGATCCTCAGCATCACATAAAAATAAATAAATAAAATAAAGATATTGTATCCAACTAAAAAATAAATATTAAAAAATATATATTTCTTGTGAAAACTCAAGCAGATAAGTGAGGAAACTAAGGCTGGGGTAAAAATGGGGTAATTTACCCAAGGACACCCAACTTGCAAACCATGTGTAAATCTGATCCCCAGATTACCTAGCACTAAAGTCTCTGATATCAACTGGTACGCTTAAATTCCTCCTTTAATTTCAGTTTCATGCTTACAAAAACAAAAATTTATTTTTGTCTTTTCAGACGTATATCAATAAACTTAGGGAAGCATCTACAAAGTATCAGGCACTGTGCTTAATGTTTGAGATAAAATGAGATGAACAAAAAGTTTGCCTTCAAAGGGCTCTCAGCCCAGAAGGGAAATGAGTCTGTTTATATGTTAATGAAGCCTATGACAGAGGTAAATTAAAGTGCCAGGAGAAAAAAGAGAGATCAACTAATTCTCCTTGGTAAGGTTAGGAAAGGCTTTACCCAAGAAAGAGGTATTTGAGCTTAAACTTAGCAAATTGCTAGCATTTGCTGAATGTCTACACTGTGTTAGGAACTGGGCGAGCTGTACCTCATATTTCATACATAGTCCATATTTTTAAAGTTGCTTCTTTGTACAAATGAGAATAATAAAGCTTATAAAATTCAACTTTTAAAGGGGAAAACTCTAACATTTACTGATAATCATTTGTTGAACTGGTTGCAAAGTACACATTTAATTCACATAACCACCTTATGAAGTGGGTATGGTTAACATTTTAGATAAGGAAACAGGCTCAGAGATTTTAAATAAACTATACAAAGCCAGAGAAGATTTAAGATGTTAAACCATTATTAGAGCTGACTCTACAATATTAAATCTATGTACAAACATATACATGCATTTGTAATAGATGACAATGATAATAAGCTATTTGTTGAGAAAATATTATAAATAATGCATTGTGCTAAGTACTCTATATACATTATTTAATTTAATCCTAATAGCATTTGTGTGATTATTTTATTTTTACATATTAAAAAACTAAGGACCAGAGACATTAAGACATACAGTTGTTAAGAGTCAAAAAAGACCTTTAAAGCTATCTTTATGTCTGATCCCAAAAGCTAATACTGTATATGTAACTATTGTAATGCCTATTCATGTAGAGCAAAGAGTTTACAAAATAGATAAGGCATGGGAAGGCATTTTAAGTAGTGAGAACCATATAGCCACAAACCTGTATATGAAAGTAAAAGCACATATAATAATTTTCCAAATAGTTCAATACAGGCTATTAGTGGGAGATTAACACACCTGACTGCTGGAAGCCATCCATGAACTGTGCATGAAACAAATCAACATGGAAGCCAGGTGGTAGGAAAGTCTGGTATCTGGGAACTCCCAGCGGCACTCCTGCTGGTTTGAGATCACCCAGTACCTGTGATATCCTACGTAGCTCTGCTAGGATCAGCACTGCACTGGAGTTGGGGTGACCAGCTGGAGTCACACAGCCACACAGCCTCTCAGAGATGGATATAGCTTGTCAAGATGCCAATCAACCTGTTTGCAGCAAGACTACTCCCACTAAAACCTTATCCCTGCCTTTGATGTACTCTCCCTTAAATAAAGAACCAGAGCCACTTTCTAGTTGTTCAGTTCTAGCTTCCACCAGGACTGAAGGATCTATCAGGAGTTCTGCTTTCTCTTTAAATCTGATTTCTGGCTCTCTCTCGCGTTCTCTCTCTCTCTCTCTCTCTCTCTCTCTCTCTCTCTCTCTCTCTCTTAGTTGTTGATAGACCTTTATTTTATTTATTTATATGTGGTACTGAGAATTGAATCCAGTGCCTCACACATGCCAGGCAAGTGCGCTACCACTGAGCCACAGCCCCAGGCCCCTGTCTCCTTATTTCTTTACTATCTATTTCAGACTTTCATTTTCTCAGGTGGCTCACAACCTTCTGAGCAGGAAACTACCCTGGCAGGGTGCTAGCTGCCCCATGAGACCTGACAATCAACTCTATAGATCTGCACTGTCCAATATAGTAAGTGACTACTAACCATATATGGGTATTTAGCACTTGATGTGTGGCTAGTCCAAATTGAGACACATGATAAATATCAAGTATACACCACATTTCAAAGATTTCATATAAAAATAAGCATGTAAAATATTTCACTAATTTTGTATATTAATTAAAGATTTAAATGGTAGTATTTGATATACTGGGTTAAATAGAATATATTATTAAAATTAATCAGGGCTGGGGGTTGTGGCTCAGTGGTAGAGCACTCACCTACCACGTGCAAGGCCCTGGGTTTGATCCTTACCACTACATAAAAATAAATAAATAAAATAAAGGTATCATGTCTATCTACAACTAAAAAAAAAAACTCTAACAAATAAAAAGATCTCTTGATCTCTGGGCAGTATTGCAACAATATAAACTGATTTTTGTGCTTCCACTTCTGCTCACTTCCAGTCTATTCTTCTAAAAGTCAAATTAGTTGAAACAAATCAGATCAATACTTTATACTGTTCAATGACTTCCCTTTGTATTTTAAATAAAATTCAAACTTCTTGCCACAGACTACAAAGCCCCCACATGACCTGAGCCTGGACTACCTCTCCATAATCAATTTTTACCACTCTACCTTTCAGTCGCTCTACTAATCATTCTGGCTTCCTCTGAATACACTAAGTTCCTTCCCAACCTAAGGGAAGACACAGGTCATTTTTTTCTGCCTGAGTTGCTTTCCCCCTTACTCTTCACATGGCTGGATTTCTTCATTAGGATCTTTTTTTTTTTTTTTTTAAAGAGAGAGTGAGAGAGGAGAGAGAGAGAGAGAGAATTTTTTTAATATTTATTTTTTAGTTATTGGCGGACACAACATCTTTGTTTGTATGTGGTGCTGAGGATCGAACCTGGGCCGCACGCATGCCAGGCGAGCGAGCTACCGCTTGAGCCACATCCCCAGCCCTCTTCATTAGGATCTTGACTTAAAACTTCATCTTCCCAAAGAGACATTCCCTGACCACACTCTTGAAATATGGCCCTTTCCTTCATAGCACTATGATTTGAAAATTTATACATATGTACATATGTATAGATGCTCCTTGATTAATGTTGGTATTAAGTTCCAATAAACACATCATGAGTTAAAATATTTTAATTTGAAAATGTACTTAACACACCGAACCTACTGAACATCATAGTTTAGCAACACAGCCCATGGTAGCATATTGGTTGTCCACCCTCACAGTGAAGTGTCTGGGAGCTGTCATGCCCTTAATACCTTCTATTAGGCCCTGCCCCCCAACACTGTTGTATTGGGGATTAAGTTTTTAATACATGAACTTTGGGAAACATATTCAAACCAGAGCAAATGGCATGCACTTATACAAATGGTCCTTGATTTATTATGGTTCATCTTACCATTGTTCCAACTTTATGATAGTGCTTAAGCGATATGTGGATAGAAACTGTACTTTACATTTACTCACTGATTCATTCTCTACAAGATTGTAGGCTCCATGAGGTGCAAGACCAACATACAATGGCACTCAATAAAACATACCCTAAAATCTACCAGTAGGCATTCAAAAGGTATTTGTAATATAAATGACTGAATCAGTGAATGCCACTACTAAATTCATTTTAAAATAATGCATATTAATAGAGATTAGAATAGGTATTAACTTTAATTTTTATAGACTTGTTTGGTCCAATAGTGTTCATAATATTAAGCAAAATAATCTTTAGGTACTAATTTTTTTTTTTTTTTGGCGGTGCTGGGAATTGAACCCAGGGCCTTATGCATGCGAGGCAAGCACTCTACCAACTGAGCTATATCCCCAGCCCCCTAAGTCTAATGTTTAGATATTTAACACTACACAAGCAAGAGAAATAGTCAAGGAAAAAGGTCCTATTTGGAATTTAAGAACTTGTACTGTTACCAATAGTATTTTGGATACTGCCATTCCAAGCAATCTAAACTTTATCACATATGCAAAGACAAACCTTTAAATACTTTAGTCAGGGGCATATTCTCTCTTTCTGTAGTCTCACCCCATTCCAAGTTATATTCCATATCACTGCATAGAATTATATTTTCTTGGTGGGGTTCTTTTTTTGGGGGGGAACTGGAGGTCAAACCCAGGGCTTTGTGAATGCAAGGCAAACACTTTGCCACTGAGCTACATCCCAGCCCGAATTATATTTTCATAAAATCTTTCAGACTAACCTGCATCTTGAAAGGACGGATTATAAACAAATATAATTTACCATTTCAAAATCTCATAAGGAAATCATCAAAATCATAAGAAATGTCAATGACATATCATCCTTGATCAGTCCTAAAGAATATAACAAAGGGGATGAGGATGTAGCCCAGTAGTAGAGCACTTGCCTAGTATGCGCAAGACCCTGAGTTCCATCCCCAGCATCATACACACACACACACACACAAAAGAATATGACAAAAAGAAAAAACACCATGCTCTTCCACCAAACTCAGTTTGAAGTAAAATTGTATTTGCTATTACAAATGTAGAATACAGAAATCACAAAAGTAAATTAACAGTTGTTATAGCTGAGAAATTGGTGATTCTGCAATATAATGTCAAATGTTTACATTTTCACTGCTAAAATAATAATAATTATCTGAGAAAATCTCAGATTTATTCTAGTATCTTAGAAGTTCATTCTCTGATGGTGATATTTAGCTTCAGAAATACTGATTTTACCACTGGGCCAATCAGCCTAAATATACTCAGTACACTTAAGATTAATAAATATCTTTAAAAAAAAGTGAAAACAAAAAGAGACTATAAAAACATTATATTACCTGTCTGTGAGAGGCTGAGAGGGCATTCTTTTACTCAATGATGGAAGATCCAGGGAATCTGGTTTCTTATCCATTCTACAACATGCTTGGATATGTAAGTACTTAAATATGTGTACTTTACCCTTTAAACATATCTGTTAAAAAAAAAAAAAAAAAAGAGATGTATTTATTATACAGCTCAAAAATATAAATGGGAATTATCAAGTTATTTATTTTAATAATGTCAAATTATGTTATGATATAATAATCTTAATTGATACTTTGCATATTTAAAGAGTTTGTACATCTAACATTACATGGAAAAATTGAACAATACTGACACCAATTAAATGCTATTGATATCTCTGTTCTTATCAAAAAAGTTAATTTTTCTATAATTTACTCAAGCTTTCTCGTTAAAAGCAGAATGTACAAACCACTAAACGATATAAAAATTGACAACACATGAAAGTTGCCCTTATTAGAAAAAGAAGAAAAAGAAACAAACTATTCACTGATTTGGTGATAACAGAGCAAAATATATATATATATATACATATATATATATATAATTTTTAAGGTAATCTCATAAGAACCACAAAGATGTTTGGTATGAACACTGAAAGAAAACTAAAATAAAAATAATGTAAATAAAGAGAAAGTGAATTTGTTGAAAGGTATAATGATAAGATTGATTAGAATAAAATTAAAAAAAAAAACATTGGTCAGTTCAATTGAAAAATTATTTTTTATTAGTTATGAAGGAAAGAAATAACAAGGGGTAAAAAAAACTATGTGAAAGAAGGTATTTTGTGTAAAACTGATGGAAAATGAGAAGCAAAGAAATTGTAAGTAATCTTTACAAAGGTTATTTATTTACAGTCATTATGAGTGACATCAAATAAATATTTCCCAAAATTTTTAATAAAAATATCTTGTTTGATGGGTTCACATAACCTTACCTCACATGCAAAAATAATCAACAAAGTGGTACATATACACAATGGAATATTACTCGGCCATAAAGAAGAATAAAATCTCATTTGCCAGTAAATGGATGGAACTGGTGACTATCATGCTAAGGGAAATAAGCCAATCCCAAAAAACCAAAGGCTGAATGTTCTCTCTAATATGAGGATGCTGACTCATAATAGAGGAGAGAGAGGAGTGGAGGTTCACTGAACTGGACAGGGAGGAATGGGAGGAAGGAAGAGGGATGGGAATGGGAAAAACAGTAGAATAAATTAAACATAAATCTCCTATGTTCATATATAAATATATGACCATTGTAACACCACATCATATACAACCACAAGAATGGGAAATTATATTCCATGTATGTATGATATGCCAAAATACATTGTACTGCTAAAAATAACAAATAAAAAAGAAAGAAATCAACAAAGACAACTACATAGCTGGAGCAGTGGCACATGCCTGTAGTCCCAGTGGTTGGGGAGACTAATGCAGGAGAATCACGAGTCCCAAGCCAGCCTCAGCAATTTAGTAAGGCTCTAAGCAACTTAATGAGACCCTATCTCAAAAAAATTCAAAATAAAAAGGGCTAGTGATGTGGTCCAGTGGTTAAGCACCCCTGGGTTCAATACCTGGTAACCAAAAAAAATAAAAATAAAAATTATACCAGGCATGGTGGCACATGCCTATAATCCCAGCAACTCAGGAGGCTGAGGCAGGAGGATCATTGAAAGGTTGAAGCCAGTCTGGGCAACTTAGCAAGACCCTGTCACCAAATAAAAACAAAAAAGGGTGGGGTTGTGGCTCACCGATAAAGCATCCAAGTTCAATTTCCAGTATCAAAAAGAAAAAAAAAAAGTGGGGCATGGTGGTGCAAGCCTGTAATCCCAGGTGCTTGGGAGGCTGATGCAGGAGAATCACGAGTTCAAAGCCAGCCTCAGCAAAAAGCAGGGCACTAAGCAACTCAGTGAGGCCCTGTCTCTAAATAAAATACAAAATAGGGCTGGGGATGTGGCTCAGTGGTCCAGTGCCCCTGAGTTCAATCCCTGGTAACCGCCCCCCCCCTTCAAAAAAGAAAGAAAATTATAATTCCAAGTAAAAGATGTTTTAGGTAATTCTCATAGATACTAGGTCTGATTCATTACTGAAAAAAATTCATTTGAAAGGAAAATAAAAAGGAGTTATTAGGATATAAATACATTACCAATTAAAGTGTGCTAAATAGTATCCCACTAAATTGTTGAGGATCTTACTAAGTTGCTGAGGCCAGCCTAGACCTTGCAATCTTCTTGCCTCAAATCACTGGGATTACAGGCATGTGCCCAGCCTTTCTTCCCATTTTTGAGGTGGTCAATTCCCCTTCTTCAAACTGACTGGCTGCTCTCTAGGCCTAAGACTGATACCTGTCAATCTTAGATGTGAGAAATTCCTGTTTTAGGTTACTCCCTCATTTTGGCATAGCACATCCTGCTACTTCCTAAGAATGGTAGCATGGGAATTAAAATGTCTGAGACTTTGCATGTTTGAAATATTTTTCTACCTAACATCTGATTGACAGTTTGAATGTAGAAAGTTGGAGTTATTCTCTCAGTCTTTGAAAACATAATTTTAATGTCTCCTAGTTTTCTGAGCTGCTGCTAAGAAATTATTCTGATCACCACACCCATGAATGTTGAGAGCCACAGCCAAAGGGGCCCCAGCAAACTTCCAGCTGCCAGCTAATGATTGGCTCACATGGGCCCCAGCAAACTTCCAGCTGCCAGCTGATTGGCTCCTTTGCTGTGATGCTCATTGGGCTGTTTCCCCGCCCTTTCAGACCACGGAGCTGCTCATTGGGGGACTCTTTTGGCTCTGCCCACGCGACCCAGCCAATCGGCCTTATCCAATTTACGTCTCCTAATAACTTCTGAAAGTCGTTAAGTGATTTGAGTTGATCTACTCGTATTTGAATTTTTGGTGGACGGACCATGGTTGAGAATAATAGAACTCCTAAATAATTAATTGGAAAATTTAATTGTACTTTATCTATTGCTATCTCTAGATTACAATTTTTTAATAAGTTTGTAAGTGTGGCATAACATTCTAGCAATGTGTTTTTATCTTTGTGTGCTAATAATACATCATCCATATAGTGAAATATTTGTAGTTCAGGATTTTGATTTCTAAGTGGCTGGATTACTTTGTTAACATAAATTTGACACATAGTTGGGCTGTTAGCCATCCCTTGAGGGAGTACTTTCCATTCATATCTCTGATCAGGACCTTCATGATTCAGTGCAGGGATAGTAAATGCAAAACGTGGACTATCCTCAGGATGAATTGGATTTGAAAAAAAAAAAAACAATCTTTAATATCTATAACTAAAACATACCAGGTTTTTGGCAAAGCAGACAATTGAGGAATCCCCGATTGAGCAGGTCCCATAATAACCATCTCATTATTAATGGCTCTTAAATCTTTCAATAATCTCCATTTACCAGATTTCTTTTTGATGACAAAAATTATGGGGAGATACAGACTGTGTCACATAAATGTGTTCCAAATTTCCCTTCTTTATTGCCCCCACCCTGGTTTTACTGAAGTATGAATGACAAATAAAAACTTAATATATCTTAGTGCATAATGTGATGTTTTGATTTATGTAAACAGTGTGAATTTACTGAAACAAAACTAACATACCCAACACCTCACATAATTATTTTATTGCATATATTGTGAGAACACTTGAGGGCTACTCTCTCAGCAAATTAAAAGTTTATAATACAGCATTATTGACTACAATCATCAGATTACACATTAGGCCTATAGTACTTATTCATTTTTAACTACTGAAGAATAGTATCACTTGATTCTTATCTCCCCTTTTCTCCATCTCCCAGCCCTTTGTAACCATTTTACTCTCTGCCACTTTGAGTTCACCTTGCTTTTTGATGATTCCTTATATAAGGAGGGTATCCAGTATTCGTCAATGTTTGGCTTATTTCACTTAGCATAATGTCCTCAAAATTCATCCATGTGGTTGCAAATGGCAGGATTTCCTTCTTTTTGAGGGCAGAATCATATCCCTATCTTATCCCTATCATATCCATATCTTTACTATTGTGAATAATGCTTCAATGAATATGGGGATATAAATAACTATTTCTTTTGAATATTGTGATTTATGAGAAATAGTTAGCCTTATTCCTATTTTATTTTCTTTTTTTGAGGTGGGGGTACCAGGGATTGAACTCAGGGGCACTCGAACACTTGAGCCACATCCCCAGCCATTTTTTATATTTTATTTTGAGACAGGGTCTCTGAATTGATTAGAGCCTCACTAAGTTGCTGAGGCTGGCTTTGAACTCGTGACCCTCCTGCCTCAGCCTCCCAAGTCTCTGGGATTACAGGTGTGGATCACAATGCCTGGCCTTATTCCTATTTTCTGGCTCACAGTTCCTAAAACCTTTACAGAATTTCTTAAGTGTCCTGTCCTATGGCATGAGAGAACCTTGGAGAGAATCATAGAATAAGGGGTTGGTAGCCAGGGGAAACAACCATGTGATTAGAGTTGGAATTTCCAGCCCCACCCCATCACCACCCATCACCAGCAAGGGGAGAGGGAGAAATGAGAGGGGATTAAAGATGAGTTGATCACCAATGGCCAATGACTTAACCAATCATGACTACACATTTAAGCTTCCATAACAAATACAGGGTTCAGAAAGCTTCCAGAATGTTGAATATGTGGAGATATCTGGAGGGTCATCCATTCGGAGAGAACATGGAAGCTTCACATATACCTTGCCCTATGCACTTCTTCTCTCTCACTGTTCATTTGTATCCTTTGAAATTTTTTTATAATAAACCAGCAATAATAAGTAAAGTCTTTCCCTGAGTTCTAAGAATCACTTTTAAAAAAATCAATCAAATCTGAGAAGGGGGTCATGGAAAATGGACTTATAACAAGTGGGTCAGAAGTATAGGTGCACAGTCGAGTGGGATTGAGACCAATGGGATCTAAAGCTATCTCCAGATAGATAGTATCAGAATTGAATTGAATTGAATTATAGGACACCCAGTCAGTGTCTGTGGTGAGAAACCCCCCCACAATTTGGTAAGCAGAAGTTAAATAATCTGCATTGGTAATTTGAATAAGAAAAATACTTTTTTTCTATCACTTGAAATTATATACCTAGAAATGGGGTTGTAAGATCACATGGTAGTTCTATTTTTAACTTTTTGAGGAAGCTCCATACTATTTTCAATAATAGCTGTATCATTTTATAATCCTACAATACTGTACAAGGATGCCCTTTTCATTATATCCTCACTAACATTTGCTATCTTTGGACTTTCAGTAAAAGCCATCCTAACAGGTGTAAGGAAATATCTCATTGTGGTGGCATTTCCTTGATGATTAATGATACTGAGAATCTTTTCATATAGTTCTTGTCCATTTGCATGTCTCCTTTAGAAAAAAAAAATCTATTCACATCCTTTGCCCATTTTTAAATTGTTTTTTTTCCTCCTACTGTTACTTAAATTCCTTATATAATTTAGATATTAACCCCTCACAGGATATATGGTTAACAAATATTTCTGGATATCTACAATGCAAAAAAATTTAATAAGTCCTCATTTGCTTCAGTGGAAGGCTTTCAGTGTTTTGGTCTATCTTTCATCTTTGAAATTATTCCTGAAACGTTTAGTGATCTTTGGCTATCTGTTCATTTTCAAGAGCGAAGCATTAAAAAGCCAACTGGAAGCTCCAGGTACATGGGGGAAATTTACTTGTAAGCTTCCATCTATCTGGTAATCAAACGGGGACTGGTCATTTCATCAGGTAACACTAAAAGATCAGTGTATAGATAAGTCTTTTCTCCTGGTTCAATCGGTTTACTACAGAAGAAATGTTTCAGTCCTGACTCAAATACCCAAGACAGGCTCTGGGCATTCCAGGATCCAAGTAGTTGAAGTCTACTGTAGGGTCCTGACATTTAGCATGCAAGCATTCACTGTTTTCAGCATAGGGTCTCACTTCTGCCTATAGCTGTACCTGTATGACTGAGTCCCCATAACAAAATTAGTAACTTTTTTTTTTCACTTATAGGATTCTACCCTCCTTGGATCAAATTTTAAAAAGCCAAGTGGAGCACACACTTTCCTTCCTCTGGTCAATCTGACCAGACCCCCTATTCCCATTCCTATAACTATCAATTGCTAACTTTGTTATCTTTGCTACAGAGAATGAAGGAAGGACGTCATAGTCTGATTTACAAACTTGATTTGCAGAAACATAGGTTGCTCAATGATCCACCAGATGATCCACCAAGAAGTCTAAAACTTTGGGGCTGTGATTGTGGCTCAGTGGTAGAGTGCTTGCCTAGCATGTGCAAGGCACTGGGTTTGAGTCTCAGCACCACATATAAATAAATAAAGGTCCATCAATAACTAATAAAAATATTTTTTAAAAGAAGTCTAAAATTCTTGATTTTATTAAAAACTTCTAAAACTATCAACTTCTTCCCTGGGCTCCACCTTCTGTGTCCTTCTCCCTTAAATATCCCATAATCGTGCTTGCTAGGGAAAAGAGGAATTTGAGGTCCTGTTCACCAACCTTTGGGTTTGTACATTCTTGATTAAACTTTCTCTACTCCAAGCACTAGTATTCAATGTTTGCTGCATATCAGGCACGTAAATATGATTTTCGGGGTTGGTAACACTTGGTGCCACTGACTCTGGTTTTCTTAATAGTTGTGCTATCCAATATGGTAGCTACTAGCCACATGTGGCTATTCAAATTTAAATCAAATTGAAATAAAACTAAAAATTCAGTTTTCTGTCACTCTATATACTTGCAAATACTCAATTGTCACGGTGGCTACCATATTGGACAGTACAAATACAGAACATTTCAATCACCATGGAAAGCAATAATGGGCAACATTTTTCTAAATATTATACAAATTTCAGGCTTCTGCTGAGGGAAGGAGTGAATCATTTGGCCTCTGCACTAAGGAAAAATATCTAAGGATCTACCTGCTCAAGGTAAATTCTAGACTTCTGCTGCGGCAAGTGAGGGGTAGTCATGTAGTTATGGGACTAAGGTCAAGAATCTGAGGGTGTAAATTTTAGACCTGTGGTGTAAAATATAGTAGCCACTAGCCACATGTAGCTAATGAAATTCCAACTAAATAAATCAAAATGAAATAAGTACAAATTTGGTTCCTTAGTGACGTTAGTCATATTCCAATCATTCAGTGTCAGAGTACATGCTTAGCACGTGCAAGGGCCTAAATCTAATACCAGCACCAAAAACAAAACAAAGTATTTTTTAAAAATCCACTTGTAGCAAGTGGTTACAGTACTGAATAGCACAGATTACAGAACATTTCCATCATTCAGAAAGTTCTACTGGAGATCACTGCCTTAGACATTCAGTCCCTCATCCTATATTCAGAGTTACATGTTATGATCAATACTTGTGCCACTTCCAGGTTTGCACAGTAAATCAACCTGCTTCTTGCTGATTTCCCCGACAGCTGACACAGTCACAGTTTTCCCCCATTTGCTAAGACAGCTACTACCAGGACCCCAGCTATTTGAATTAGAAAAGATACGCCCTTTGGAATAAATGGAATATACCTCTGTAGGAAGAAAATTGCAAACCCTGAGCCAGGGCACATAGCTTGAAGGTAGTGTGGGCTGTTCTTTCACTGCCATCTGCTCTGCAGACAGATACTCATGCAGCATAAGAGGCGCTAGGCACCACTGTTCCATCTATTTTTCATTTTCCAAAACTCTGTTGACATCTCTTCTCCACTGTTCCCTTTCATACTCTTCATCCTTCTGGATTTATGCCTTAGCTTTTTCTTTATCATTTTAGTGGACTCTACATGGACTTAATCTTCATTAAACTAAAGGCCAGAATTAATTTTTTCACTTGTATCTTGTTCTTTCTGTTACGATTTCATCTCTCGGTGCCAAGAATGTGCTACAATTCATCCCACAATAAATCCCAAGCAGATACATACCTGAGTATGAAATAGGAAGAGAGATTTCGAGGTCTGTTTTGCAAAACAACATTAACAAACAGAATTAACAGTTTATAAGCAGAAAGCTGATGTCTGAGTTTTCCAAATGCTATTCTACAGCCTACACTAAAACTTCTACCAAAGTAGAAAAAAATATCATCTTAGAAAATCTCCTTTAGATAATAGTATCTAAACAACAAAATTGGCTCATTTTGGTGTTTTTTAAACTTAATAAGCAGATAAAAATTATGAACAAAATGAGAAGAAAACAAAAATGAGAAGAAACAAGTATCATATTTTTATTACAGACCTGTGCTGGTGGTACTTGCAATGGATTGTTATCCAAAATTATTACTTGTAAATGATGCAGCTTCCTGTAACAAACTGGAATTTCGGTCACTTTATTACAAGAGAAATCCAGCTTGACTAAGGGAAGATCTCCTAATTCTGTTCAGAAATGAAAATAATTAAGTTAAATTCTACACAGTTATTCTCTAATTCATGTGAGTAAAAATAGTGAACATCTTACCATCTGGCAATACATGAAGATTATTTCTTCTTATATTTAGCTCTCTAAGGGAATGTAATTTTCCCATTTGTTGGGGAAGGACCTGAATCTCATTGCAGCTAATATCCTAAGGAAAACAAGAAGAAAAAATCATAATAAACTAATAAATACAGATAAATTCCAATTTTAAATTAAAGCATATGATTAATAGCTAGGAGAAGTTACTTCCAATGTCATTTCTCTAAAAATTAATTTATCTGGGAGATTTCTATTTATATTACACCATGAAGTCAACCTATCATAGTCAACAAAAATTTTTCTGTGTAAAAAAATCTGGCGCACACCTGTAATCCCAGCAGCTCCAGAGGCTGAGGCAGGAGGATCAAAAGTTCAAAGCCAGCCTCAGAAACTTGGTGAGGGCCAAAGCAATTTAGTGAGACCCTATCTATACTAAATAAAATACCCAAAAAAAAAAAAAAAGGCTGGGATGTGGTTCAGTGGTAAGTGCCCCTGATTCAATCCTTGGTACCAAAAACAACAACAACAAATCTTATTAACTACATTAAGTAGACCTCTCAAAAAATCTCAGCTGAAGACCAACCTTTGCCCACTAAAACCAGAAGTAAGGATGATCCAGGTGTTCTTCAGACATAGAGGTAAAATAAAATACTAATAACTATCTCTCATTGCCACAATCTGTCAATTATTATAGTTGATTTGAGATAATCATATAAGTAAAGCTAAGAAAGTTAACAATCCAAGTTGGAGAACCCAAGATTATGGTCAGGATCAATTTAGCTAAATTTGGTTTTTTCAAAGGATTATGAAATATGAGGGGTTACAAGCTCAAATGGTTCACAATACAACTCAAAGATACTCTAGGAGATCAGAAAACTTGAAATTTAAATCAGTGTTAAATAAAAATGTAAGCCCTGATTTAAAGAAAAACATACCAAGTTTACATAATAAGCGAATAAGGAACGGTTTAACTGTGCTCTCCTCTCCCGCCTCTTTCTTATAATTATATTGAGGTAGGATAGAAGACATAAGAATAGGGAGAAAGAAGGCATGCGGGACAAAAAAGAGTGCCTGTGATTTAAAGTCCAGATTTAAAGTTCACTTTCACACAGATTAAAAGACCAGATTTAAAGGAGCCTTTCATATACCTTGATCAAAAACAGCACTAATAAATCAATTATTAGGCCTTGTCTATGGGTATACCAGCATAGTACTGTTTAAATTCACAAAGTAAAATACATCAAAAAACAAAGGAAGGAAAAGCCTGTTTCATTAATGGTCAACATGTCAATAAATGACCACCATCCCAGTAATGGTTAACATGTCGAGTCACCAACACAAAGGAAAACTAAAAACACTCTCTTAGATGATGTCCCTGTACTATTGACCTTATGTGTGTAAATATACCTAGCTAAGACATAGCTAGCATGTTCCTCTCTCATGCCCACGTTCCACCATGTCTCTCAGGGGGTCTACTGCTTTCTTCCAATAAATTCAATCTGTGCCTCACTTTGATCCTTAAATTCCTTTTGCAATGATGTCAAGGACCCTCAGGGCCTGAGTTAAGGTCTGTCTCTCTTTTCAGAAACCTCCTTAGGACCCCTGTCCCAGCAACAACATAAACAAAAAGGGAAATGTGCAACATGATCTTAGACAGAAGCCATTCCTGACATACTGCAGATGAAATTCAAGTTTTACTACAATTACTCCCAATTCCCAGCTTTCACTGAAAATTATTTTAGCTTGGCAGGAGATGGGTGGCATATACACTCAGTTTTATCAACTTTAAAAAGTTCAGGAATGTCAATTCCGAAGAATATTAAAGCCACATAAGGAAGAATCCAATAAAGCTCCTGATAATTAGGAAAACGTATCCTACATACATTTTTCAAAAGATATCTAAGGCATCTTCATTCAACAAGTCTTAATCAAATATTTGTTAGGCACTATTCTAGAGCTGGGAACACAGAAGAAAAAGAACAAATTCAGCCCTCACAGTTCCTTATGGAGTTTCCTTTCTAGCAAGGGAAGTAGATTATTTCATATGCTAGAAGATGATAAGTGCTATTAAAAATTTTTTAAAGCAGGGTAAAGGAAAATGGCAGTGCTACTAATAATGGGAAGGGACATTAACAATTAAGATCATCTCACAGAGAAGGTGATATTTGAGGAGTATTAATATATGAAAAAGGAAAATTCCAGGCAAAATGATAAATGTAAAGGTCCTTAGGAAGAACACATCTGACATGTAAAAGTAACAGCTAGAATTCTGGGGTAACTTGGGAGAAGTGGGTAAGGGAGAGAGTAGGGTGTGGGTAGGGGATATACTTTTCACTTTTACTCTGAGATGGCAGAAACCAGAAACTTTTGAGCAGAGGAATGACATGATCTGACACGTTTTGATAGGATGGCCTTGGCTGCTACATTCAGAATAGACTATTATTCAAATGATGGACAATAAAGGGTTAGGAAAACACCCTTTAAAATAAATACTAGTGCTTCTTTCCAAAGGTGTCTGATACTAAAGATTTCAATATAGAAATCTGACACATAGCTGCCACTTCCTAGAAGAAATAATCCCTAGCATAGGAAATTAACCTACTCCAGAGGATATTGCACAAAATACTCTGCTGGGGGATTGGAGAGAATATTTCCTAGATTTTTAATGACAGAATATAACCACATTCCTGTGGCTAAGTACCATGGGAATACTCACAAATTCATTATATGATTTACAATTGTCTGCCATTCATCCTAATGCCATCTACCCATATGTTATTACTGATTCTGAGAGTTTAAAGCATAATAATTTATATTAATTTTATGTTAGGGGCTGGGGATGCAGCTCAGTTGGTAGAGTGTTTGCCTCATATGCACATGGCCCTGGGTTCATTCCCCAAAACCACACACACACACAAAAAAAAAGAGTAATTTTATACTAAAGTAATAGTATTGAATATTTTAAATACTCTCCTTAAAATACTTGAATAAATCTAAAAATCTTAAATATTTTTCATGTTTCATTTATCTAAAAAATATCTCATGTAATATAATTTAAAACATAAGACCAGAAACTGAATTAAGAAAAAAAGAAGAAAAATAAATTACAGAGCTCTAAAATCTTAAAATATTTCTATAATCTTTACAAGACACTGACAGTGTACAGGTCAAAGAAAGTAATCATCTCTTTTAATATGAATTTGTTAGATCTCCATTCATTTTTTTAAAATATAAAGTTAAGAGTCCATTAACAAAAGGGAGTATTTTCAGGGTATAAACTGCTAAAAATAAAGTCATACAAAAGATTAAAAGTAATAAGGATGTTTATAATATAGAAAAACAGGTCTTATAATTTAGAAAAATAGAAGGTAGGCACACACAGGTTATACGTACCTGAGGGAAGAGAGGTTGTCAGTATCTATATCTCACCCCAGGACCAATGGGAAAAAAGTGATGGGGGGAATTCAGTTTGGTTCAAAATAAGATTACTAACAAACAGTTTTGCAAAAGAAAACCAGGGGTGGTTCAGACACACACAAACAGAGCTGTTCACCACCAAAAATGTGCTAAATAGATCAGGGATTCCTGCATTAGGGAGTAATTACATCTGTTCACTTTTAAGATCTCTGATATGCTTACAATTCTATGGTTCTAAAACACAAAGGTGAAATTCAAGGAAGTTCCCTTATGTTGTAATTGGACACGCAGGTATTTCTGAATAAATAAAAGGAATTCCCAGCACTTCAGTTCATCATAGTCTAACAATAAATTCCCGTTATAAAGTTGTAGATAAGTTCCTCAAGAAAACTTTTGGTTCACTAGACATAATAAAGTATGCTTAAGAACACGTTAAAATACCTGTTTATTGGAAAAGTGTTATTCAAGATAAAACAAAATAATCAGCATGTTAAACTGTGTGAAATGGGGGGAACCAAAAGATAGTAAGATAATAGAGCAATGTTTTAAGAATCCAATTATGTTTCTCTCTGAGTTCAATGCTCTTTAAGAACTAAAATATTTTATCCAAGGTAATTATTTTAAATTATTCTATATTTCTATAAACAACAGAATATAATGGCTTCTTTTCATTTATCTTGGTCCCCAAGGAGTTATAAAATCACATGAGCATAAAGTAAAGGAAAAGTTATTTTGTTAATTCTGTTTACAGACATTGTACTCTCTTCTTTAATCACCATTCTCTATGGCTCTACAATAATCCTGTAAAAACTTAAAAACAGCAACAACAAAATACCTTATCTTTTCCCCAAGACTTTTACTGTCCACAAAATGAAAAAACAAATACTTATTCATTTAAAAGCTATTTTTTAAAGCTCAGAAGCCTTCTAATCCCACTAGGGCTAGGAAAAACTAGGCTTTTTTTTTTTTTTTTGTGGCTGGGCACTAAAATCAGACACAACACAGTATCTCATAATTTGACAAAAGTAAATTTAAACATATACCAATTTATTCATTTAAAAAATTACAGTGAGATTCCACACATAAATAACTTATCTTCTAAAATGTAACAGTATTTATTATGTATATTACATATAATTTTTTTAACTATTTTACTCACCAATTCCATTAAATCTTTTAACTTTCCAATTTCTTCTGGAATGGATACCAGTTTATTATTACTGACGACCAAAACTTTAAGGGGAAGATCAAATAAGTATTTTGGCAATGTTGATAAAAGATTTCGACTGAAAAGAAAAGGAAGTCTCATTATGAGAAAATATGTCTGAAACTTGACTGTTATGTTGAAAAACAATAAACTTCCTGGAAAGTAAATTTCACTAAGTAACAACTACCATTTAATGAGTGCTTACTTTGTATCAGGCATATGTAAATTCCTTACATACAGTGTTTTATTTAATCCCCACATTAACCCTACAAAATAGGTAGCATTATCTCTATTATACAAATAAGAAAATGAAGGTTAAAACTTGTTAAGTGACTTGCCCAGATGTAACAAAGACTCAAATGTAAGTCCTGCTGCAAAGTTTGTGTAGCTATCTATGACAATGCCTTATTATATCATCAGTGCTCAAAAACTCAGAATGATTCTTCTGAGCTAGAGAATGCCAGAACCTTGCTCATCATTTCAGTATATTCAGTACTTCCAAGCCTTTAACTGTGGAAAGGCTCCAAGGATAAATTTGCATGTACTATGTTCAAATTATGAAAGAATGAGTAAGACTGTATCTTTAAAAACATGCTGCAATTCTAACTTACTCCCTTTGTTAGTTTACAATAGAACAGGCTATTAGCACCTTTACCTCTGCTCAAAGTTGATACATTTCTATTTCTGGGATCCATTTATAATGTAACAACTAACATTTATTGAGTATTTACAATGTTCAGATAACCTCAAATGGGTTAATTCAACTAACACAATCACCTAATTTAGGAAGGTAGATACTATTATGATCCCCATTTTATAGACGACAAAAAAAAAAGTCACAAAGAGCTTAAGTAAACTGCTAAAAGTCACACAACTGGTAATGGGGAGAGTCAGAATTCAGTCCCAGGCAATCTGGCTCTAGGACCCTTGCCCTTCAACTATTAGGGTCAAACTTAAATGCTGATGCAGACTGACCCAAATGATCCCATTACCAAAATATATAGAGAGGATTCCATTCTATTTACATACTAAGAAGCACTGACAAGCAATAAGCTATTATTTTTCCTCTTTTTCCAAGTAACACTTATAGACCTATACCTAGTATCTTGTGCAATATACATTGCAACAAAAGCCCAGTGTTTCAAGGCATTTTAAGGACCCTTCACCCCATCTTATCCCTGCAAAGGGCATCCAGAAACACTAGACTGGCTTTAATCACACATCGCAGACTTAAAATTAAAAAAAAAAAAAAAAAAAAAAGACAATGCCCCTCAACTAGTAATCCTGGCGAGGCTGCTGGAATGTCAGATACGCTAGGGGCCTGTCACAATCCTTCATACCGTCAGGGTCAAGCAGGCTCCTTGGTGAAATGGTCTGTCTGGGACCTTTCACCCTGGAGCACACAAGGATATTTCTGCAAGAAAATCACCTCAGAGGTTTACCAAGACATTTTCACCAAAATAGAATAATAAATGGGAAAATAAGAGCAAACTCATTCTAATTCTCCCTCAGGCCAATGACACAAAACAAAACAAACAAACAACAACAACAAAAAAATTTTTAAAATCAGTTTATCTTCTTCCCTTAAGAAGCATGTTAATTGAAATTTCTCCAGAATCTGGTTACTTCCTTCATAGCAAATAAGTCACTAATCATCACTTTTATACTACATGTTTTAGAGAGAACCAAAGGAAACAAGTTTTATTTCAATATAGTTTGTCAAGAATGTTTGTGACTATAGGGGCTGGGGTTGTGGCTTAGTGGTAGAGCGCTCGCCTCGAATATGTGAGGCCTTGGGTTCAATCTTCAGCATCATATAACAATAAATAAATAAAGGTGTTGTGTCCAACTACAACTAAAAAAATTTTAAAAAAAGAATGTGACTATAAACAAAAATTAGAAGTCAACTTTTAGAGGTCAAAATAGGATAGAACTGGAGCAACTTTCAGTAACACTATTCTAAGACATGTCATACATATTAATACAGAAATTTAATTCACTTTTTTGGCAAATCGCTTTTTTTCACAAAAGAAAAAATTGAAACAAAAACAAAGACAAAATATAAAAATATCTCACTTTCCTGAAATCTATTCTAAGCCAGGCCAAAGAGTATCTGCTTATGCAAAGAAGAAACTCAAATGACTGATGCCTACAGAAGTAAACTTCTCTCACACCTTCTTTTTTTCTTTTTTTTTTTTAATTTGTTCTATTCTCTCACATTTTAAGTATAAAGTGGTTTCAGTTAAAATAGTGTGTACTGTCAGGAACACCAGCGGGGACCATATAAAAGAATCACTTTAAGCAATGGGCATAGTGGTCCACTGGAGGCTGACACAAAGAGAATCACAGGTTCAAGGCCAGCCTGGGCAACTTAATAGGACCCTGTCTCAAAATAAGAAATAAAAAGATCTGGGGATGTACCTCAGTGTTAGAGCATGGGAGGTTGTGGGAGGTTCTGGAACCAATCCCCCAGAGATACTGAGGGAATGATCATACATGAGACTTTGGGCAAGTAGCTTAACCCAATTTACTCCTCTGTAGTGCAGGGATAATACTATTACCTACCTCAAAAGAGTGTTAGAACATTAGATGAGATGATATGGGTAAAGTGTTTAGAAAACTGCCTGGCACATGGTAAGCACTTATTAAGGATAAAAATTATCATCCACTTCCAAACTTTCCAATACTCCCATCCCAATCCATCCACCCTTGAAGAAGCAACAAATCACAAAAGTAATAAAAATAACTTAAGAACTGATTCTTTATAATGTTTCACTGTAACTATGGATTCATATAAGCAAATGTGTATCATGCTGCTATGATTTGAAAAAATATTTATGATTTAAAGCCTTGCTACTTGTGAGATCTAAAGACTAGCAGGCAGAAATGGGCATTACCAGAAAACCTTTTAAAAATGCAGGCCCCACAGCAAATCTAAGGAATTAGAATCTGCTTTTAATAAGATCCCCAGATGATTCCTGTGTATTTGAGAAGCACTGCTCTAAAAGGACAAGACCAAAAGCCTACAAAATAAGGTGAACATATAAACAATACAAATAATGGGGCTAGGTTTGTGGCTCAGTGGTAGAGCGCCTGCCTTGAATGTGTGAGGCCCTGGGTTTGATTCTCAGCACCACATATAAATAAAAAATAAAGGTCCATCAACAACTAAAATTAAAAAATAAATAAAATTTTTTTAAAAATACAAATAAAAGGGCTGGGGTTGTGGCTCAATGGTAGAGTGCTTGCCTAGCATGTGTGAGGTACTGGGTTTGATTCTCAGCACCACATATAAATAAAAATAAAGGTCCATCTACAACTAAAATTTAAAAATAAATAAAATTTTAAAAAAATACAATAAGAGGGCTGTGGCTCAGTGGTAGAGCACTTGCCTAGCATGTGTGAGGCACTGGGTTCAATTCTCAGCACCACATATAAGCAAATAAAAATAATTTTAAAAAATTCAAGTAAGATATTGTTGAGATAAATATAGGCTACACAGCCAAACCAAACACATCCCTTTGCTTATTATAAAGAATTAAAACCATAATAAAACCCAAAATTTATTTTAAAGAATAAGTTCATTACCTAATGTTAAGGTATGTTAACATCTGCAGATTTTTAATGGCTTCAGGAATGGTTTTGATGCAATTATGATACAAATTTAATGTTTCAAGAGGTGCAAACAACCACACATCAGAAGGAATTTCTGTAAAACGATTTCTGGAAAGATCTGAAAAAAAAAAAAGTGATTTAGTGTTATAAATACACCAATATCTATAATAATAAACAGAACTATTTCAATATTTGTTCAATCATTCAGAACCTAAGCAACTACTTAAAAAACAATTGCTGGGTCATGGTGGCGCACGCCTGTAATCCCTGTGGCTCAGGAGGCTGAGGCAGGGGGATAGAATTCAAAGCCAGACTTAGCAAAAGAGTCGTGCTAAGCAACTCAGTGAGACCCTGTCTCTAAATAAAATACAAAATAGGGCTGGGGATGTGGCTCAGTGGCTGAGTACCCCCAAATTCAATCCCTGGTAAACCCCCTCCCAAAATATCAATGAAGAATTCTCTCTGATCTTTAAAAAATACAATAAAACCTCCCATGATCCCACATTCCCCTCCATTTCTGTCTTTATTCTTCACAACGAAATTTACACAATTCCACAACCCAACTAAATTTTGTACTTACCATGGACTTCTTGACCCAGTGTAATTTGGTTTCTATTCACTCTCACATCCACTAAAATTACAAAGAGCCTCCATATCAATAACCACTCCATTCATGTGTAAACATTCTCCTCCCTTGACTTGGAAGACTACTCTTCCAGACCTTTCCTGTTATCTCTCTGGCTACTTCTTCAGTTAGATTTTTTTCTACCCATATTATAAATGTTAGTGTTCCAGAGGGTTAATGACATAAGGTACTCTTTCCTTCTAAAGATATACATCATACTGAGTGATTTCATCCAATCCCAAGGCCAAATTATAGGTATATATACTAACAAATTACAAATTAAGGTTATGTCTAAATACCCATGTTTTGATCTTCAGGACTTCTTCTTGATGTCTTTTAGGCACCTCAAATTTTATAAGTGTAAAATATGAACTGAAGATCTTTTTCTACACACCTGTTTCTCTTATCTCAGACATGTCACCAACATCCTCCTGGTGAATTGTCCAAGGCAGAAACCAGGCATACATCCTTGATTCCTTCCTCTCCTAAATTATTCCATGCACACACAAATATGCTTCCATTCATTTAAGTTTTTACAAAGATAAAATCATGGAGTTATTATAACCATTATTCCTCCATTAAAGGTTTATTATATAAAATTTTGAAAAAAAATGACATTATGTGATCAGTTGAAAAAATACTCTAAAAAAGTTTTTCAACTTCAGTACTACAAATCTTTTGGTTAGATAACTGTTGGTGAGGAGGCTATCCTGAGCACTGTAAGATGCACTGGATACCAGTAACCCTCTGGCCCTGAAAGCCAAAAAGTATCCCCTGAGGGGCATCCCCATCCACCCGTTGAGAATGAATAACTAAACAATTATCTAATTAGTTAACTAATCATAGAGATATGCTTTATTTATACTACTTATTATCCTTGTTCGGTTAAAAACATAAGAATATTATGGACCCTGTCAGGGAAAACATCTATAGTTCAGCCTAGCCTCAATTGTACCTCTTTTAGCATCAGCTTCATCCTCACAAAAAGAATAAACTCCTGGAGCTGGGGTTGTGGCTTAGTAGTGGAGCACTCACCTAGCAGGTGCGAGGCCCTGGGTTCGATCCCCAGCACCACAGAAATATAAAGGTATTGTGTCCAACTACAACTAAAAAATGAATATATTAAAAAAGAATAAACTCCTCTCAGTAAAGTTCAACTTTCTCACTCTGAGGGATGAGACCTCTTTACTCAGCAATATAGTAAATTCCCTATTTAGAATACTAATATATATATATATATATATATATATATATATATATATATATATATATATATATATACTGGTATATATGGATATAGAGAGAAGAGAGGACAGGGGAAGGAAAGAGAAATTGATTCTCATTTTCATCTAATATAAAGTTTTATAACTGGAAAAAGAAAACATTAACTAGTATTATGTAATATGCAAATTAATTTGGATTCTTCTTCCTCCCACTTTAGGATGCTGAATAACTTAATAAAATGATAGGGGGGCTGGGGATGTGGCTCAAGCAGTAGCATGCTCCCCTGGCATGCACGGGGTGCTGGGTTCGATCCTCAGCAACACATAAAAAATAAAGATGTTGTGTCCACCGAAAACTAAAAAATATTAAAAAACTCTCTCTCTGTCTCTTTAAAATAAATAAATAAATAAACAAACAAATAAAATATAGGCATTGTGTCTAACTACACCAAAAAAAGCTAAAATAAAATATATTTTTTAAAAAATGATAGGGGCTGAGGATATGGCTCAAGTAGTAGTGCGCTCGCCTGGCATGCATGAGGCACTGGGTTCGATCCTCAGCACCACATAAAAAAAAATAAAATAAAGATATTGTGTCCACCTAAAGCTAAAAAATAAATATTTTTTAAAAAATATAAAATAAAATAAAATGATAGAATTACTAGAAGATGATATAAAATTTCTCAGTATTCTGGTTTGCCTCCTATGGATACTCAAAGCATCATATAGTTCTATTGAGGGGGAAAATGAGTCAATGTTTTTAGTTAAGAATTTGCTTCTGTTTCTTTTATGCTTGAGGTTTTACCTCTTATTTTTATAACTTCAGAACCCTAGGAGTTGAAAATTACTGATTACAATTAATTTGAAATCCTAAAAACAAAATTATGCCCAGTTTGTTATTCCGTATAATAACTATTAAACACATAATTATTAGTATTAATTACTAATAAATACTAATATTAAATACTAATAAAATAAATTAATATTTAATATTAGTGTTAAATTAGTACTTGCTACTTAATATTAATACTAAATACTAATATATAGTATTAAGTACTAATTTTTTATTAGTTAATGCAGTGTTCCCAAAGATAGATAATGGTCATGTGATTAAGATTGCAAGAATAGAGAAAAGAAAAAGTAGCTAAAATTTGAAATGTATTTTAGAATTAGTATATAAGTGGGAAGTTCAAGAGATGGGTTATGTGGGATAAATAAGAGGTAAGAATCAAGGATGGTATGAGGATTCTGGCCTAGGGCCCTTAAAAATGTTTTACAATGAATGAATGGAGTTGGAACCAGATTTTTGTTGCTGCTACTGGTGGGATTTCTGTTTTGTTTTCTAAAGCAGACATGCAATCAAGGATTCAATTTTATGTAAAAGAGATTCAAAGGAGATTGTTCCATGGACATCAGACAGATGATTCTGGATCTCAGAAGTGAGGTCTGAGACAGACATAAAAACAGAAGCTGTGGGAATACAGTTAGTACTATAAAATCATAAAAACAGAAGAGCATCCATCCCCTAACATCAGTGTACTCAGTTGGAGAGATCAAGAATAGGCCATCTGCTGAGCCCAGTGGTACACACCTATAGGCCCAGAGACTCAAAAGGCTAAAGCAGGAAGATCACTTGAGTTTGGCAAGTGGGGCGGGGACACACACAAAAGAAGAATGGGACATCAAAAAGGTCAACACTAAGAAATTGAGGGGAAAAAAAAAAACGGGAAAGACTGAAAATAATAGTCAAGAGAAAATACAGTAATTATGTAATGAAGACATCAAAGAAGTTCAACCGTGACAGGAGAGAAAGTTAAATGTCATTATTAAGAATGATTTTGGACTGGGGACATAGCTGAGTGGTAGAGTGCTTGCCTACCGTGTACAAAGCCCTAGGTTCAATCCCCAGTACGACCAAAAAAAAAAAAAGAATGATTTTAATGAGATAGTTTAAATAATATCAAGACATTATTTTAATAACTTCCATATTTTTGCATGATGCTTTATGTTCTTTTCCTTCCCCAAAAGGATTATTTAGTTAAATTACAGAGTAATAGTACATACTCCCTTAGGGAATTTAATTAAATTTACACTCATAAACTATTTTCTGGGTGACTTCATCTATTTATTTAGTAAACACCACTTAAAATTACAGGAATTATTATTCTAATTGAATGGAGTTAAATCAAATAAAGCATAATAAAGTTGAAATTAAAACTCAAGCTATTATAGAGCATCTAATTAAAGAAATCTAGTTCTAGGGTGTTTCAGATTTTAAATCAGTATAAACATCCTTTCTAAGCATTTGGTAAACAGAATAACAGTGCCAACAGAAAAATACAACCATGGAAGGAGAGATGGGAAATAGCACAAAATAATTTGTATCTTAATTTCATGAACAATCTCGCCATAACAACATCTCATATTTACCCTGAAAAAAGTGAAGATTGGGCTGGGGTTGTGGCTCAGCGGTAGAGCGGTCGCCTAGCACGTGCGAGGCCCTGGGTTCAATCCTCAGCACCACATAAAAATAAAATAAAAGATATTGTGTCCAACTACAACTAAAAAATAAATATTTTTTTTAAAAGTGAAGATTAACTTTCTTGTAGACATAATGGATAAAATTTAAACTGTGACTTAAATTTTTCATCTTTGATGTATACTTAATAAAGGAAATTTTATAAGATTAAAATTATTTAATAACCATGTATACTCAGGCAATAGAATATGACTAATAATAAACATATACTCAAGAAATACATGCATAATTGTTATTTTAATGGAGTTCTAGTTTAAAAAAAAAGTTTCCTAGAACCTTTGACTGTTCCTTATAAGGCAATATTTTTGTAAATGTAATTAAGAATCTCAGGATGAGGAGATACCCTGTATCACATACAGCTGAACATTAAATGCCATAACATGTGGTCCTATAAGAGAAAGCCTTAGGAAAAATTGAGGGGAGGGTCACATGAAGACAGAGGTAGACATTGGTTTATTGTGGCCATGGAATGCCAGCAGCCACCAAAAGCCAGAATGGGCAAGGGATAGGTCGTCCTCTAAAGCCTCCAGAGAGTGACCCTGCTGAAACTTTGAATTTAGCTCCATAAAACCCATCAGACTTCTGGTCTCCAGAACTGTGAGACTAAATTTCTGTTCTTTAAAACCATTAAGTTTGTGGTGACGTGTTACAGCAGCCACAGGAAACTAATGTACTCTGTAATTACTGTTTATCAGAATTAATGAAAGAATGCCTGTAAATTTTTAACCTTA